CAGTATACTAATGAGTGTGATGTCATAGTAGGCATTATTAAATATACGAAAATTTACAGAGGTAGTAAAATATCCTGTATAAAACATAATTATCTTACTCAGGGTTTATAGAAAGGTTATTGTAAATTTGTTTTCTCATAGTAATCAGTGTTTTGATTTAAAAATGATGACAAATACACCCATGTAGAATCAACTGAAAACATTGAGATAGGGGTCATAGGCACTTTAATATGTACTACCATGGCTTAACATTGCTACCATGTGACTTAATATGTGCTACCATGACTTAATATGTACTATACCATGGCTTACTATGTACTATCATGGCTTACTATGTACTATCATGGCTTACTACGTACTATCATGGCTTACTATGTACTATCATGGCTTAATATGTACTATCATGGCTTACTATGTACTATCATGGCTTACTATGTACTATCATGTGACTTAATATGTACTACTATGGCTTAATATGTACTACTATGGCTTACTATGTACTACTATGGCTTAATATGTACTAACCATGGCTTACCATGTACTACCATGGCTTAATATGTGCTAACCATGGCTTACTATGTACTACCATGACTTAGTATGTACTACCATGGCTTACCATGTGCTACCATGTGACTTAATATGTACTACTATGGCTTACTATGTGCTACCATGACTTAATATGTACTACCATGGCTTACCATGTGCTACCATGGCTTACCATGTGCTACCATGGCTTACTATGTGCTACCATGACTTACTATGTACACCATGGCTTACTTTGTACTCGACATGGTTTAGTAGTACGTTTCAGCTTGATAATTATTTATAACCATTTTATACAACTATATTATAACCCCCCAAAACTCTGACTATTTGACATATTTGAATGATGGAGGAAAACATTATTAAATCTTCCTTATTCATTACAATCCAAACACCCTGTCTCTTTGTTTCTTTGTACCACTGCACTACTGCATTACGAGCTGTGTAATCTACTTCTTTTACAATCCCACACTTGATTGGCTTGCCCTGAGACTTGGACAGTCTCTCCCACTTGCGGGTAGACTGGGACTTGCACCTCCTTCACAAGCTCTGGGTGTTTGAAGTCAATGCGGACGTAGAATAGGCGACTTGCACTAAGAAATCACGTGACTTCTTGGATGGCAAACGCGCGCTATGTAAACAAACATCAAGATGGCCGCCGTCGCACCGGAAGGCGACAAAAACAGGTTAGTACAACCACTTAGACGTAACTTTTTAGCTTTTTTCTACCAAATATTGGTACCCATG